GAAGAAGTCGTTCCTTGAAGACTCCTTTCAGAGCCATCGTTCCTCCGTCCCTTCCTCCCACGGCATGTGTCGCAAGTTCATCGATGAACTCGTAACCCTCCTCTCCAAGGCGGCCAAAGCTTTCCACGGCTAAGGTGGTAAGTTTAAAGCTGCGTTCGTCAAAGGACATGCTATTCTGTTTCCTCGTTCCCCTCCCTTTGCTTCAGATTTTTCGCCTGTGACTTTGTTGCATCCACGCTGCGTTTCGATCTATCCTGCGTCCTGGCAGTTACTGGGGAGTTTTTCCCTTTTTCTGTTTGGTACTTGCCTACGTGTGTTTATGCTTTCGTTTTTTCCTCTTTTCCGTTTGCCCCCCGTAAATATTTTGACCCTGTATCGTCGTTTCCTTCATGCCGCCGCGTTGCGTTCTGTTGGATATGTATAAGTCCTTTCCGCCCCCTCTTTTTTTGCGCCTCGGTGCCTCTGATTTTGGGGGAGGATTTGCACTTTTTCGCGCGAGAAAAAATGCTAGCCGTGCTGGCGAGGGCCGGTGTGTGCGCAGGCAGGGCCGCGAACCTCGTCGTCGTAGCGTTGTTGTGGCGTTGTTGGGCTCAGAGACTCCAGCTGCGGAGAAGAGGAGCAAAAGGACAGGCACACTAATGTCAAAGGGAAACTAGTGAAGACAGAAGCGAGACAATATGCTTGCATTCGCACCGGTGTCGCCTTTGTGGAAACTCCTTGGAAACGGTTTCGAGGCGTAGGTCGCACGAAGGCACCGCCGCGACCTGGTGCTCATGGCTTTCGCGAGATGACAGAAATCGGCCGTTGTCAAGAAATCGCGGTGAAGAAATCGCTTTAAAAAAACTACGAAGAAAAAACGGTGCCAAAATTCTTATTTTTTTTTGTTTTTTCCTTGTAGCAGAAACGAACCCAATACAACATTGGAATATAGCAGCACAAAGAAATCTACAGAGTACGTGTAGCGAAGTAGGGGCTCGCCGTCTTAGGGACTCACTGTCTAAGGGGTCACCCATATGACAGCGGCAAGTCCTCCTCTTCCGACTGCCTTGCTCAGTATCACATGGCTGACACACATGACTGCGTCATGCTCGTCATTATTCAACCTTGTATATTTTGGCGGGAGTTCTCAGGATCAAACCAACCGTGCTAACGGAGTTATGGAGTATTGCCCCCCCTTCTTGATACTCATTGTCACGAGGCATAGTAGCCCCCCCTCGCAAGTGTGCTGACAGGTGCGGGTGAAAGAGAACAACTCGAACTCGACTCTCGGCCAGCGACAGCATTGGGTGCATTTAAAGCATGATTCTCTATATAGTTCCTTGTCACCGATGCATCCAACTGCATTGAAATACGGCTCTTCGTAAACGTCGCCCCTCATTCTTCTGCTTCCACGCATATGCCAACACACGGGCCGTCTCCGAAGTCCGAAAAAAAGCAGGCCCCTAAATGCTGTCAACACAAATCGTCCTCAATCAAAGAAACCTCGAGCTTTCCGCGCGAATCATTTATGCATGAAAACTGCTCGGCTACAAATCTCGCTAAAGCAGGCAACGAGCTGGTTATTACGCATCTGTTTCGATGTTGAAAAGAGCAATGGCTTCCTGCAACCCTTTCGGGGGCAACACCGATGAGAATCTTGTGACAGCCATCGACCACCACGATGGGCGACAATAGGTATAGTCTACCGCCGATATTGTTGAAAAATATTTCTTCACCCATTTTTCGGTTTTCGTATCCCGGCAAGGTTCGAGAAACAAGCGAGGATTACCTGCTCCAGATCCCACAACATTACTCCCCCCCGCCCAACACCACCTGAGGGGATCGTGTCACGCAAGATGCCGGCCACTGCTAATTCGTTACAGGGCAAGGCGTGTGTAACAACACGGTGCCGCCCCAACTAAGTCGTCGCCACCAAACAGTCACTAGCCCATCCCTCACACCGGCCGCGGTGTCAAATTCGAGGCTTCCACTTTCCTCTGCCACTTTTTCCGCTTCAGGATCGGTTCTGATTCATAAGCTGTTGCCTGAAAGCTGCTTCAGCCATGCGCAGCCGCGCCGGGTCTACTGCCCCAGTGACGGGGTCGGTGCCCATAGGCCGCCGGAACAGCAAGATATTTGGCTCCGGCCTAGAGGGAAAGGTTAGGCAGGTGAGCGCGTCGAACAAACCGCTTCGTACGTAAGCAAGTTGCATTGATTTTCGCCAGCCCGATTCGGCGGAAATCGCACATACCCTTGGGTGGCCAGAGCAGTGCGTTTACGTCCCTGTTGAGGCTGGGTTTTCTTCTACTGCTGGTATTGCAGCGTAAACCATTTTGCCTTGGCTAGCTTTGAGTACTGCAGTCGAGAGCATGATCGTGAACTTCCATTGCCCTTGTTTCGGGAGCACATCTGTCTCTACGTCTAAGCTCAAACAACGTGGTTATTATAGCTGCCTGGCGGCACCCTTGAAAAAAGAGGGGTCCATCAATCGATTTTATCAAAATGAAGGACCAGCTTTTCTGTCTTGCGTGCGCATTGCAGCCGTGTCAAAGCATTACTCGCCGGAGAATGGAGTAGTGCTCCCAGCCGCGGCCCTGGAACACGCCCAAAGATTCCAGCTCCGCCTCAGAGAGCAGCTGCGAAGGTGACAACTTGCTCATAATTGAGTCGGGCAGCGCTACATGCCTGCCGGTTGGACATAAATCCGAGCAATACGGAAACAGCAAACGATTGAACGTTGGAAAACTCCATGATTCATGCCGTTACAATTGGAGCTCTGCACCACGGGATTGCATGCGTGTGGTCACTTCGATTATGGACACAGGGAGAAGGGTGTCAAAGACAGCAGTAGCAAGATCAGTCGTGTGGTGATTGTTTTTGATAGTATCCGTGAGGACCTGTAGTACTAGTGTTTTCCACCTCGAAAAATAGAACTGCAGCTGAAGTGGAGGACGTTTGCTCAGCCAAAGTTGATGTTGTTTTCGGCGGAAGACTCGCGTCGTGCTTTTCGCCCAAGATCCCATACTTTTACGCCAAGTCAAGTACTAGCTCATCGCTTCATCCGTGACGTGTAGTCTACTTCCTACCGAAAATGTGATAAACTTTGCGCCACCGAACAAGATTGCACCTCGACTCCGGCGAGACATGACGATGCCAGCCCGCTCGTAAGCGGCACGCACCTACTTTCGGCGAGGCCCAACACCGTATTTGCTGCAGCGATGTGCGCTGTACTTCTTAGGACGGCTACAATGTTTTGAACCACCTTTGGCAAAGCAACGAAGAACGATTGGCCATTGGTGATCGATCGTGCGGGAACCATGCTCCATCCCCTCGAAGATGCGTAGTCAATAGTCTAACAACTAGGCAAGCGAAGCATGACAACGCCCCTATACACAAATGGCATCAACGAGTGAATTCCCGAGGAAGTTGCCCCCCCCCCCCCCCCCCCCCCCCCCCCCCCCCC